TGCCAACACATCAACATATACAATATATGTGTTTAAACCTGGATAATTTTTTTTTGACATGACAGCCGATATAGCTGACATCTAAAAAATGTACTTTGACAAGCAAAAAGCGCTTTTTTGTAAAAATGTTTACTTACCAGAACACAATGAGTACAAATCAAATAAATATATATCTTTGCACTGTAAAAAAAAAAGAATGAAAGGTGTAATTTAATTAAATGTTTGATTTTATTTGTATGGGAATCCATGTCCAAGCTGCAGAGTTCTCAGTACAACATCATTTTAAATGTGCCCGCAAATTGCAATTGTGAGTGTTATCTGGAGCCATGTCAATTATTTTTTTCATAGTGCTCTATCAGTTTAAGTTTTAGAAATAACCCTGATGTCATCAAGGAGATTTGAGCTTTGGCTTGGAGACTATATGTTAAAATAAGCAGCATCCTCTAGCCACAGGTAAAACCATCTGACAACTTCTAGAAACACAACCTTTCTCTCCCATTGACATCTCATTGGATTGCACTTTCAAATTATTAAACTGATTCAACCAGCAACTGTGCAATCTAATCATGTCATCATAAGTGGTTCTTCACTGTCAGGGGTTTGTGTGTTGGTAGACATTTTTGCCATTATACACACAAACCCCCACCTCAACATATCAATAATTCACTTGCTACCCTGAAGGGAGGGTGCGGGGGCCTCCACCTCCATCTTACATTTCACATAAATAAATAGACAGACTGATGTGGACCCCTGACAGCAGATTGTATTGCTCAACGTTTTATTACCAAGGAGAAATCTTGTTTAATGTTGATTCAGTTTGACACAGCTGGTGGGGAACTTCATCCATCATCCAAAGCTGGTACATTGTGGTTTTTCATATTTTTCGACAGGCATCTGTCTGTAGATGTACTAAATCATTGGGTTAATGTATTAAGCTCCCAGCTAAATTGAATAAAGAAACAATGCCTTTTTTGTAGATACCCTAATTTTGTGTAGCCTAAGGTCAGTGACAATTGTATTAACAAGGTTTATTATGTGCCTTTGTGACCGTGCAATTAATGTTTTTAATTTTAGACTGTTTTCTGAAATGTTTCATTAATAGACACGTGTGTGCATTACTTACTGTCATTCTCTGTAGGCCTAGGTTTTGTGAGTTTACAAATCTTTTTTTGCGTTTGTGGAAGGTGTTTCACATTTACAGATTAGGCTAGACATTTACACGGAATATATTTCTGTTCACTCAAATAATATTGAGACAAATCTACCTCCATACATCTTTCACACTGCCTCTGTGTAAACACCACCTAGTTTTACTTTCATGTGGTCCCCTATGATGTTAGATCTCTAACCCCGCCTTCTCCGGGCGCCCGGGGACAGTAAACCAAACAGACAGGAGGAGGAGGAGACCCTCAACTTGAGCTCAGGAGCCGGTGCTCCAACGGTGCAGTGATTCTCAGCTCTCCACCGGACCGGTATGCACTATCCGCCGGAGAGGAAGTGATCCACGGTGACCGAGAAACATGCAGGCGGAGGACATGGAGGTACCTATCATAAATATCCTTAACGATAACGGCGACCGACAGAGGCCGAAAGGGAAAGATGTGTTCAAGGATCTGCAGAAGGAGTCGGAGGTAAATTGGAGGGGTGTTTGGGTACGGTCGGATACTACTGCATATGGTATATGAGTGTGTGTGCGTGTGTGCGTGTTGTTGCTGGGGAGCTTTCACACGTCCTTTTCCATGCAGAGACTCGGTCTCTTGGCTGGGGAGAACGCAGACAGGCAGTCAGACAGACAGGCAGACTGCGAGGTGTTATTTTGGACCCGGCTCCTATAAATAACCCAGCAGTAATCCTAATGTGGAAGTCAACGTGGAGAATGCAGGTGGAGGAATGTCAGGACCACACCACCACTACCAAACATACATTTTATTATTAGTCATGTTGTGGGAATTAGTCCATGCATTATACTATCTGTATTCTCCATAGTTGACATTGATTTCTGTCCTTTAATTCATTGCTTTGTTGACATTTTGATAGTCTAATATAAAAGCTAATAGACAATGGTAAACATTTAGCATGTTTCGACTTCAGATAGGCAATATAGTAGCCACTTAATGTCATTATAAAGAGGTTTGCTGGTCAAATGTAATACTTGACTTTGGCCTCTGATAAGGCGATGGACTTATATTTGAAAAATACTTGATTGTAGGTGAGTCACTATCAATTATTTTCAATATTGTTTAATCTGCAAACTATTTTCTTCATTCATCAATTGTTTGTTTTGTCCATAACAAGGGGGAAAAGGTGATTTTCTCAGATCTTTACGCGTATTATTCACATTGCTTGTTTTCTTAGACTAGCTGTCAAAAACCAGAAAAGATCCACCTTAATATCGTATAAACAGAAGCAGCAAATCCTTACATTTGAGATCTTGCAACAATCAGTTGTTGGAATTTCCCGTTGGAGAAATTACCAAACGGCTCAAATTGAGATTTCCTTTTCAGCGGCTGAGTCATACCAGTTTACAAACCAACTTGATGGGATTTCAACAGTGTTTCGAGCCAGCTTCTAAAAATACGTACCAGTGAATCTTCTCTGCTTCTCTAAACATGAAAGCAGTGTGGCTCAGTCTGATGAAGCCTCTTTTTCCTGCAGCTATAATTCATCCCCTCGTAACAAAATTAGAAGATGTGTTTTCATTCCTGGATTTCTCAGCCCAGATACACCAGAGGAGCTAAGCAGCAACAAATCCAGTCACCCCTGGTGTGTGTGTGTGTGTGTGTGTGTGTGTGTGTGTGTGTGTGTGTGGAATGGTTTGAGGGGAATTAGAGCATATTCATCTGACAGCCGTTGCATTCTGGGAGGGAGGTGTTTGGGGGGTGAATGACATGGATGTTGAAAGCACTTAACGTCAACGTTGTGTTGACGCTGATACTCTCTGGCCACTGCACCCTGTCAGTTAACTTGACCTTAAATCTGATTCATCCATGTACATAAATTGTCCATCATGCATGCATGCTGGGTAGAGGACTTGTCTATGTGGCATATGTTGCTGTGAGTGGGGGTGGCCTGCCTTGACATGGTGCCCAGTTTTTGCACATGATGTGGTGTAGGAGCACAGGAGCAGTGCCAGTTTGGAGCTTTGGTTATCAGCTGGCGGCAAAGAGGGGAGACTGGGGAAGGGCAATAATAGGGAGACAGGGTGAGAAAAAGGAGAAGTAGAAACTCAGGCATTTTCTTTCCTGTGTGTATGGGAAAAATAAACTCATATCTTTGGACAAAACGGTCACTTCACTTTCATTGACAAGCCTGTGTGGCCCATATGTGACACCAGATGGATGGTGGTTGAGGCCACTTGTTTAATTAAACGTTTAAAGTAATAGTAGTAGAAGACGATAATCTGTTTAAGGCAAGACACTACA